AGCAATTCTAAAATGAAATATTGACTTAATAGATAACACAATAGATATGTAGATTGACAGAGAGAAAAAATTTTAAATGCCATGTTATAGAATAATGTTACAATTGTGAGATCATATTTAGTTATTATGTGAATGTTTTAAAATGACATTTCTATTTCTTAGATCCCATATAGTACATGATTTTTATCAATGTTTGAAAGAGAACGTATCTATCATTCATATCTTATATGTGTATTTTATAGATCTATATATTTGTCCTTCCTGATGAGAGGCTTGTAACATAACATTTCATATAGCTTTAATTTCTTCAGGTGAATGCCAGTGAATTTGTATTTTAGTTTATTTATAGGCCCTCTGAATTATTATGCGTGTTATGTTTTTGATAATAACAATACAAAATAATTTAATGACTCAGTTTCTTTAATCCTATGAATAAAATATAAATGAGTTTAATTTGCATACATTAATTAAGTGCTTCAGTGTATTTCCTTATGATATCTTTTTAAAGAAATCCAATTTTTTTTTTAACTCATCGCTGTTATGAAATCTGTAAAAGTCAGGTCATATGTATTTGCATATGTTTTCTTTTAGTTTCTAATCACTTTGAGAGACTGCTAAATATTCCTCCAGAGAATATCCAAAGAAAAGAAGAAAACTAGGTCTGCTTTAAACTAATCCTGCATGGTACACTGAGTTGGTTTTTGAACTTGACCACCCTGGAACTGCCATGGAGATTGTTGCACTTTCATCTTCAGAAACCGATGATGCAGTAGCAACATTTGCTTTCCATTTGCAATCTTCTATTCTTGGCTAACCTAAAATGAAGTCAAAAGGATTGGATTTTCTAAGACCAGCAGTAGCCAGAAGTAAATACAGTGTGCTGCTTTATTGTGTCAGATTCCAAAACCTAAAACATCAAAATAACTTTCAAATTTCTTATTAGCAATTTCCAAAACTTTGGAGAGTTCTATAAATGTGGTTGAACAGCTATGTTTTCCATTGTGCAAATTGTATGTATTCATTTAATTACCACAAAATCAGATGTAACAAAATATGTTTTCCATTAATTTTTGGTAATTCTTATTTGAAAAACTATCAACAGAAATATTTGTTATTATCTGCTGATACTGTTCTAGGCATTTTACTTTTTTTTACTTTTTTTTTTCTGTCTGAGAGCTCTGTGAAGTGGCCATTATTAGTATATTAGTGTCACAATTTACAGGTTGGGAAATAGAAGACAAAGAGATGCGAGGTAACAGGAAGAACTAACACATAAGGAGAAATACGTAATGAAGAACCTTGAATTATTCTTAAGAATTATCTTTATTGGATGTCTCTTCCTCATTCAGAAAATGTTTATTTGGTGTCAGCTGTGTACCAGAACTATGCTAACAGCAACATGCAGTAATAAAAATGCAATGCATGGTCCTTTACAATATATAAACATCTGGAGAAAGCATCTATATAAACCACCACCAGCCCAAATCCACATGTGCATTAAATAATTATTTTATTCATTTAATAATGTTTACTGGGTGCCTATTCCACACGAGGTCTTGCCTAGCAAACACTGTCATTTTGACAAAAGTTTACAGTTCTTAGTAATGTTTCTGTTGTTGGAAAATTAATCAGCATCTCTTACATAACCTGGTTGAAATGCTATAGACGTTCGCATTCCTCTGCCTACCGATAGCTTCTGTTATAATATTTATAGCAATGGATAAAAGAAGGTAAATACTGAGGAAGATTAGGAGAAAAGGAAGCTAGAGGACCACATATATTCTATTAGTTTAGACCTAGTCCTTCATAGAAGAAATCCTGAGTGTTTCATTTTTCTTTTCTCTTCTTTTGAAAATGGCTGCATTTGTAGAAAAATTGAACATTTCTTGAACATAGTGTGTATTTTTTATGTCCTAATGGTGGGGTAGGGAATGAAGTGGAAAAATGCTTTCTTTAAGGTCGGTCACATAGATATGGCATCAAGTCCTTACTCTATCGCTTGCCAGATGTGTGATTTTTAGCAAGGTAGTTAATCTCTCTGAATCTTAGTTTTCTCAACCATGAGATAAAGACAAAAGTAACTAACTTGCAGTATCAGAGCTCAGTATTTCAAGTAACGTATATAAATACTGTTCACTTATAAAAATCATTGTTGTGAAGATTAAATGAGATAATGAAAGTGAAGTGCTTAACAGAATTCTTAGTAAAATGAATAACAATTCTCAATAAATAACTGCATTTATTTTAATTGCTATCATTATCTTTTCATCTGCTAGACAAGTGGTTCTCAGGGTTTTCATGTGTCACCTCGATAGAATAATCTGGAATGCTTGTTAAAAAAGGAATCAGATCCCCAAGCCAATTCCTGATTAGCTAAGTAAGAATCCCTACTGGTTTCTTGGGCATCTTAAACCCAGTGTCCTTGAAGTAGAGGCTTTAACTGTCTGTAGAAAGGGACAGTGTCTAGTTAACAAAGTGCCTAGCATATACCACCAACTCATGCAATAAATGGCAGTTGCTATTTTATAACATGCTGTCAGTTATTATCTTGGAAAACCAAGGAGAATCTTGGTTAGGACTAACTTCCTGGGAAATGACTATTTTTCACAAATAACTTATTTCATGTTTGTGTACTAAAAAATTGTACAGTGCATTTCTAAGTACTTAGTTTGATTCTAGGAGCTGTTGTTCTTTTGTTATTTTAAATTGGTTTATCAAAGGTAGGATTGTCATCATCTCTGAACTATTTTATAACTGAGAAATCTGGATAAAGAACTGATAAGAAATTGAATTACATTTGACACGGAGACCAGGACTGAGGATTTTGTCACCACATTAGGAAAGTTGAAATCATAAGAAAAGTACAGTTATCCAATGGGATAGGCATCTTACTTCTCAGGATTGGGTAGCAAATTTTATAGGGAAGTGAGGGACTCTTTTCTGAGAATTTGCTTACTGTTCAATTCGCTTAATACCTGAAATGTGTGTTAAAATCATGAGTCTGAAATTTACCTTTGTATATTTATTTATATATTTTTTAAAGACAGAGTCTCGCTTTGTCACCCAGGCCGGAGTACAGTGGTGCCATCATAGCTCACTGCAACTTCAAATTCCTGAACTTAATCCTCTCACCTCATTCTCCCAAGTACGTAGGACTATGGGCATGTGCCACCACGCCTGGCTAATTTATTATTATTTTTTCATAGAGACAGGGTCTCTTATGTTGCCCAGGCTGGTCTTGAACTCCTGGCCTCAAATGATCCTCCTTGCTTGGCCTCCCAAAGTGCTGGTATTACAGGCATGAGCCACTCTGCCTGACCCTGGAATTTACTTTTAAATCAAAGTTACATAAAAAAAGTTTTTCAAGCAAATCATATGGCTCTACATTAAATCATACTAATAAAATATTGCTGGTGTGTAATCAATTAAAACTCTACAGTTTTGATTTCCATATACTTTGTGGTGTTTGCAAGTAATCAACCTTTTTAAAAATTATTCACTTATCCAGAAGCCTTCAATTGTGGTATCAGAAGTTCAAATACTCTATAACTCTTCCAAAAAAACCTGTAGTTCTGCATCAGATAAAGATGGCTACTCTTACGAATAAAAGGAACTGTAGATTTCTAGAAAAGCTAAGTCATATAGCTTGAGCTGTGCTGTTTGAGGTAGAATCTCCAATTTAGGGCATTCTAGTTCTTGGAAAAAACAATTATTTTCCACCTTATTTTAAAAATTGAAACCCCTATCTTTGGAGGAAGGAGAGGTGGTTTGTTGAAGATCTTCTGGGACTTAAGGATTGGTATTCTTGTCATCCCTATCACAATGACTAGTCTCATGTCAAAAGGCAAAGAATTTAAGCAGTCTTTTAAATTTGTTGGGTTGTTTTTGGAAGTAGGGGAGCAATGTCCATCTTGCCTATTTCCTAGACTTGTGAAAATTCAACTATCTAGATGCAAAACTTCTTTGAAAAGATAAATGTGATATCTCTTCACATGGAATGTGATATATGCTTTTTATTTGAGATTTTTTTTTGAAGGGTGGGTGAGTTTGTAAGACATTATTAATATTCACTGGATTTTATGGCATACTTCCCTGTATAACACTGTTTATAGTCTAATATGTGCTTATTCGTAGTTGTTATATGTTTGCTTACTAGCTAGGATTGTAGGTGCGTGCATTTCTTAATATTGTACTCCATCCTGTGGATTGAGAGTATCATTAATAACAGAGAATATGTCTTTGTTATACAGAATCTCATCCCTAGAAACTGTGCCCTGATAAGCATAGTAGGTATTTAATAAATAGTTGTTAAATGAATGGAAGCATGCCTCCAAAATGCACTGTTCATTTCCAATGTACATGATACATTTATATCTACTCCTTAAAGCCAGTGAAGTTAATGTTTTGAGTTTTTCTGTGGAAGATTTTCTCCGAAGCTAGATATGTTACAAAGTCAAATTTGGAAATCAAGTATATGAATATTGAACAGATGATTCTTCTTCATAATCAATTCTCTTCTGACTTGAAATTCAGATGTATTGTAATTCAAGTGGTTTATAATGGGGAGAATTTGATAATAATCAGCACTGTACTAATAATTTAGATTATATTTCTCTTCTTTTATCTTCTCACAGAGTAAAAACTAGGGTTGTGTGATAATGTTATGTGATAATGTGATAATGTTTGATAGAATGAGATTCATAATCAGATAAACCTGGGTTTAAGTCCCAACTATACCAACTTCCTAGTTGCAAGAGATTCTATACTGTTAGTTTCTCTAAGCTTTTGTAAGTCTCATGTGGGCCTAATACTACTACCCTAATGAGATTGTCGTGAGGATTAAATGCAGTAATAAACTTGAAATGTTTAGTATGATACCAAGACCTAACAGCCATTAGTTATATCTTTATATTATTTACATAGTTCATCTTCTAATCAGGTATTTTCTTCTGTTTTGTCTGGTTTTTGTTTTCTGTATTTGTGTATGTTTTCTTTCACAGATGGATACACAACTGATGACATTGAATTTTACTGGCGTGGCGATGATAATGCAGTAACAGGAGTAACAAAAATTGAACTTCCACAGTTCTCTATTGTAGATTACAAACTTATCACCAAGAAAGTTGTTTTTTCCACAGGTTTGTATCATGGGAAATAATTAAGGAAAAATAATATTCTTCACCATATTTTGTTAAATGTCTTCACTTATGTTAGAGTTAGACATGTCCCAGGGAAGCACAATGACTTTAGAAGACAAATCCCCTGAAAACTCTGTTTCCCTGGAAGCCTATTGCTTCACTAGGGACCCACCCTATTATTTTCTAGAAGCTATCCCAGCGGAGCTGACAGGATCATCTCTGTGTATCTCATTTGCTGGAGAAGGGAGTAATTTTTAGAAAGACTACAGAAAGAGAACTGAAGACCTGGCTCAGAGCTGTTTCTCAACATTGTAACATTATGCATCCCACAGAATTGATCATAATCCTTTGAATCACTGGGAGAGCCAAGTTGCAGTTCATTCAAGTCTGATCATGGTGAAATTCTCCAAAGACAGTGGGAGGAATTCACATTTTCTTCAAAGGATAAGAATTTCTTTACAGATTTACCTCCTGTGTAAACTGAAAGCTGTTTCAGGTGTTAAGATTATCCTGAGGCTTTTGCCATCTTTACCCTTCCAGCGTGGAGAATTAAGATGGTCATACTTGATTTCATCAGCAAAATTTTTGCATATTTGTGATAATAAAGCCCAGGAGAGGAATCGTTTGTTAGACACTCATTTAGGGGAAAAAAATTAAACCCACAGGAGTATCTTCTTTATATTTTTCTTATTGAAATAAACCCCGCAGGCACAGAAATAACTAATACTGTAATGGCCCTTCTGCTAAGTCAGATACTTTTTGTGCCTACAAACCACTTCAGGCAAAAGTTGTGTGACTTGATAAAAATACGAAGTTGCCTTTAACTTTAAAAGAGCAGCAAACAAACTTTTCTAAGTTTGAGGTCTGCTGAATTCTTAAAAAATCTATAGAAATGAGTTCCTACTTAGAATATTCTATCATATTCAGACACTTAGCCTATCCCCAAAAAACTAAACAAGGCTTTCTTCCAAGCAATGAGAATGTCCTCTCCCTGACTATTTATCATGTGAACTTCTTATAGTCTAAGACTGTGCTCTGTTATTTATCTTGTTTTATTAAAGACTAATTCCCCAGGTCATCACAATCAAAGGACCCAGATTTAGGCAGCTGATTCTTTAGTTGTAACTCCCACAAATATTGCTCAAAAGCAATGATTCTCCACCTTTTGGTGGGTCAGGTATACTTTTAGAACTTTGATGGAAAAATTGAAACTATTAAAAAAAGAAAAGAATACATATATATAAAAACCTACAAAAAACCCTCATTCCCTAAAGCATCACCACTTATCACAGACTTAAACTGCAATCTGTGACTTAAGAAGAGCTTTCTTTTACTATGACTTGAACATGCACCCTCACAGTCAGGTAAGACTAAACTTACAGGATGACCTTACTAGGGAACAATTGAAAGAGTGACAAAAAGGACTGTTCAGATTATCCTAACAATTACAGAGGATGAGTATGTTTGACTCACTATATGAGGCTGAGCAGGGAAGAGCTGGAATTCTTTTAATTACTGATATACAGGATGCATTCCACATTGAGTAACTCCTAGTAATTAGAAACTCAGGGCTCTCAGACTACTTTTGCAGAAGAATGCATTCTTCACCAAGAGCTAAAAGTGAATTGAGATAAGATGTATGGTTTATGGACCTTTAAAGAAAAGCATCCTACAAATATTGATTGATAATGATGATGTTCTAAAATTGCCTTTCTAGGTTCCTATCCCAGGTTATCCCTCAGCTTTAAGCTTAAGAGAAACATTGGCTACTTTATCCTGCAAACGTACATGCCTTCCATCCTGATTACCATCCTCTCTTGGGTCTCCTTCTGGATCAATTACGATGCTTCAGCTGCAAGAGTGGCATTAGGTAGGCCATTTTATTACTGCTTATGGAGTTTGACTCTGCATGTGCATGTCTGTGTTCGCATGCACATGTTTTCCTTATCCTGAAAGTTGTGATGCACAGCACAACTGAACCTCTCACACTGCAAGAGTTTAACCAGAGACTCTGGGTGATCTGATTCAGCATTAAATCAATTAAACACAAAGTCAAACTTTTTCATGTCAGTATTAAACTATATAGCTGTTGATAATGAGATTGGTCCCATCAGTTTGATATTTTTATTGAAACATATTTCATGTAGCATTGCCTGCATAATTATTCGATTTGTATCTGTGCTTCTTTACCTAAGAAGAGCTCCCTTCCACCTTTTTCTTTCTGCATGAAGGACAAGAAGATGTGGTGTGTAGCAAAAGGATAAATAAACAGAAAGAATTCTAAAGTCTTATTAACATTTCAGAGTAGCATGGCTAAGGGAGGAGACAACAAAGTAAGAATATTGGAAACTAATCTGTGATATCTCTCATCTTATGCTTGATTTTTTTTCTAACAAACACTAGAGGAGAATAAATTATATTTAATGAACATTTTTGTTGTTAACTTCAGATAAAATAACTTATGGCCTTTTACATAATCTTGATTATTGTGGATTCTGACTATTCCCTTTAAAATGTTGAATTGTTGACTTTTACCACGAGATCTCAATTCAATCATTGCTTTCTTACTGATTATTCAGCAAATAATTGTTAAATACCTAATATATGCTAATTGTACTAAGCACTGGAGATAGAGCCGTCTTCTGAAAGTTATATCTAGCAGTAAAAGATATACAATAAATTTAATAACCATATAAATTATATAATAAGGTAAATCTATATAAGGATATAAGGCAAGGGGGCATGAGTATGCTAGGAGTGCAATTTAGAATAATTAGGGCAGACTTCACCCAGGAATTGTCATTGGAACAAAGATGAAGATTAAGAGCAATGTGGATATCTGGGTAATAATATTCCAGACACTGCAAAGGCCCAGAGTAGGAACAAACCAAGAATGTCAGCAAGAGGCCAGTGAGGCCAATGCCAAGTTAGTTCAGAGGAAGTAGCAAAGATAATGTTAGGGAAAGAGGCCCAAAAGATCACAAAAGGGCTATTACAAAGGGATGGTAGGCTACCGCAAAGGCTTTGCTTGTATTTTGAATGAAATAGCCATTGACTGAGCATAAAAGTGGCATGATATGATTTCTGTTTTAAAGGGATCACTTTGGCTCCTGGCTTAATAGTAGATTGTGTAGCTCAACTGTGGAAGGAAGGAGAAGGAATGATCTCTCAGGCTGAGTCAAGCACTTGTGTTATATACAATCGCAGTACCATAGGCCTCCCCTGTCTCTAGACTAACCACAGTTATAACTTATATTTACTTAGTTGTTTGATGTCCTTTTCCCCTTCAGCAATGAAAGATTCACAAAGGAAAGGTCTATATCCATATCTGCAGTGTTTTGCATGGGGAATGTTGCTCAGTAAACATTTGCTGAATGAAAGAATGAAGAAAATATGCAAATATCCCATTTTTCCAAAGTTGAAACATGTCATCTATTTTGTATCTCTTACAGGAACAATAAATAATCTATTGACTTTTTAGAAGACATTTTTAAAATGTCTTTACATGAGCAATTTATTATTAGGTTCAGAAATACTTTAAAATAAGATTTAGATAAATAGTAAAATCAGTACTGTTGGTTTTATTATACGCATGTGGTACAGAATCATCTGTAGTTGAAATGATAAAGAGAAAATTGAAACTGGAAGATGTCTCAAAATGACAGCTATAAAGAAGACATGAGAAATGTAAGATACCTGTATCTAAAGCAAGACCAAGGTTTTATGGGTATGCTCAGAATCAAATGCATATATTTATTTTTTTCTGTAGCTGTTTCATGGTGATGTATAAAAACAAAATTAAAATTATGACATTATTACTAGTGAGACAAAATTAAAGCAGAAAACTATGTCTCCCCAAAATTATAGGAATGACATTTAACTTTCAGGATGTGTTATTGGATAGTGTTCAAGGGCATGGATTTCTGAGTCAGAAAAATTCTCATTTCAATGGTAACTCTGCAACTTTCCATCTGTGTGATCTTGACCTCTGAGCTTTGTCTATTTTCACATCACTATTTTGCTGCAAAGCTGGACTTTATTATACTCAGGATCACGGATTTTCAGTGCTTTTACCTTCCAATTATAGCTTAGAGGGAAACTACTCCCCACTGTCAGAGTTACCAACTCAACAGGATGAACAATTACAGCCTGACCCAGTGTCACATTTTCCACAAGGAGTCCTAGAATGCATCTGTGTTATTTACCTTGGCATTATATGCCTCATCCACATACATGAGGGCTATGATTCCTGCTTCTCGGTTACCCTCCACTTCTAATTCTCAAATGCTTACAATTGTTTATTTATATTGCCTGTATAATGTATTTCTTAATTTCAGTACCCTTGCTGTTATTTTAATTGACTTCCCTTCCATCTCTCAGTTGGATTACTCTGAAAACCTCTTAACTGGCATTCTTTACTCCTGCCTTGCATGCTTCTCCCCATCTTCCACACTGCCACCACAGTGATTGTTCTAAATACAAATTGTCTCCTTGCTTAAAGCTGGCCCCTGCTCCACATTGCCTTTAATTTTAAGTTCAACCTCCCCATTGGGCTCTCTGTATGGCCCTTAACCTCCACTCTTCTCATGATTCTTCCCATCCTGTTCTGCAATATACCCCCACAACAATTTTCCTGAGATCATTGTAATAGGCTGTGTATTCTCCCCCAAATCCAACCTCAATATAAAAGCTCTCTCTACCAGCAGTCCCCATAAGTTTAATATGACTTTTGACCCCCAGTTCTGGGTTGCCTGGGTGACTTCCACTCATTCGTCAGAAATCAGCTCAAAAGCCTCCATTTCCTAATCTCTTTCCTGCCGTATCAGAAAGTTGACCTAGTATCATCTCCATATTCTCAACTCTCACCTTACATGTCCATCATAGCATTTAATTCACATTAAGCCCCGACTGGATATGTAACTATAAATACAAAAACATAATTAAAAGAAGTGTTCAAAATGTTCAGTGTTCACTCTGAGTTGATTTTTACCTGTTTCAATACCCTATCATACAGCTGGTATATAATAATAAGGGCCCAATAGATAGGTGTGGCCTATATGAATGAGCAAATGAATGTAGCTAACCTTTCCATGTGCTACGAGAGAAGAAAGGAGATGGGAACATTATTATTCTAACTCTCCAATTTTTTCCAGGAATCACAACTGTCCTCACAATGACCACAATCAACACCCACCTCCGGGAAACTCTTCCTAAAATCCCGTATGTGAAGGCCATTGACATGTACCTGATGGGGTGCTTTGTCTTTGTTTTCATGGCACTTCTGGAATATGCTCTAGTCAACTACATCTTCTTTGGGAGGGGGCCCCAGCGCCAAAAGAAAGCAGCTGAGAAGGCTGCTACTGCCAACAATGAGAAGATGCGCCTGGACGTCAGCAAGGTAAGCTCAGAGGGCAAGCCTTCCTTGCTTCTTAAACTCGTGGAAGAATGCTAGCAGTACAGGTTGATGATCTTGTTGAACAAATGAGGAAACCAAGCCCAGGGAAGAGAATGGGTAATTTCCCCTAAACCACACAAACAATTAATGATGGAAGCACAATTAGGGACCAAACTTGTGACACAAGATCTGGATGCCCCTTTCATTAACGGTAGGATTGCCCAAACATGAGAATACCTTTATGATGTTTTCCCATATATGAGTAAAATGCCTATAACTCTTTAGGTATTCTTTAAATGTATTCATCTAATTTATTTAAAAAGGAAATTTCATGTCACTTCAGCCAGTATTATTTGCTGGACAATAGCTTTAAATATATATAAATAATAAATTTAAAAAACTCTATTATTAAATTCCAATTTACACTAGGTGAAGTCTCCGGCCCTGAAATCTGCATTCTCTTTGACTTAAAGGAAAGATAAGCAAGTATAGAGATGTGTTAAAGACCTACCAAGCAACAAACTGATACTTTTTCTTTGAAGCATTTAGAAAAATAAAAGAAGAGTAGGGGGGAAAAGACAATGTTCACCTTAAATGTCAATGCTTTGCACATGTACCACTTGCCATTGCAGCATTTGACTATATGAGGCCACCATCTTGCTTAAGTCAGACATGGCCGAAGAATTCCCACACAGCTGTAAACCTGTTTATTTGTTAAGTCAGTAGTTTTCAACCATGGGTACCAATGGAATGACCTGAACAGATTTTTTAAAATACTAAACCCTTGGTCCCTTCCCCAGAAATTCTGATTTGATTTCCTTGGAGAAACCATGAGTTTTATAATGTTTAAAAATTCCCTAGGTTACTCTAATCTGCACCTAAGTTTGGGTATTATCACTTTAAGGTTTTTGATGATAGTCCCAGTAGTGCCAGCTCTCTTTACTGTCAATATTGAACTTCACCTGGCTTCCTGTAATAGCATTTTCTGCAGTAACAGAATACTTGTATATGTATTTTCCCAGAGGCCACATTTGGACCTTTAGAAACAGCCAAAGAAAATTCTTATTTTTATATCTGCCCTAAATATTCTTTATAAAGTAATATGTAATGTTGGACCAATAAATAGTTCATCATGATGGGACTAGGAAGACATTAATCCTTCTTAAACCATCTGGAATTATTAATTATAACAAAAACCGATTATTTATTTGATGTTTTAATATTTGTAACTTCAATTTAATTCCAAGGAAAACACAGCATAAATAATATCTGCCAATGAGTTTTATTTGGAGCAAACCATATGTAAGCTTCTGACTGAAAAACATTTTTTCACATATCCATAGGCCTAATATTTGGTTTTAGATTATTCTCTAATCCAAGGCACTGCTTGCTTAGAAGATGATATTTGCAACCATGCAAATTTTAAGTATGGCCCTTGGAAACCAAAAAACCATAAGGGTCTAGGAAACTGTCCATTTCTTTCCCATATCCAATGTTTTACTTATTGGAATCTGCCAATAGAGTCCAACCTACCATTATGGTTCTTTCAGGCTGTCAAATGAAAGAGTATTTTCTAAACCTCTTTTCTGACATAGAAGTTCTAGTGAAGAAAAGAGAATAAATAAATAAATAACACTATCTCATGGGACTTCAGTTTGAAATGAGTCTAAATCAATCACATAATGCGAGGCTGACTTAATAAGATAATATCTGATCTCTCTTCACTTTCATCTATCCTACTTTTTATACCAATTTGCATTTAAATGATAAAGTTAGAACTTAGAGAGAGGAGGTTTTATACAAATTGAACCTACAGAGCTTCAGATATTACTAAAATGAAATAGAGAAAAGTTCACTAGGAAGTTACCCCATAGTGGTGAAAAGCCTATCCTCTTGGCTAAAAGTAAACCCTACAATTCAAGTGATGGAATATGACAGAACAAAAAAAGATACTAGAGATTATATATTGTTTTTCAATGGTTCTCAAAACAGGGGCATTTTCTTCTCCCAGAGAACATTAAGCATTGTCTGGAGACATCTTTCATTGTAAAGAACTGGGGGATGAGGTTTGCTACTAATATCTAGTGTGTAGAGGCCCGGGTTGCTGCCCCACATTCTGTAGTGCACAGGACAGCTTCCCCATGGCTTCCTGTTTTCAAACATAAGAAACTGAGGTACCGAAAAAATAATATCCTTGTCATCTAAATATTCTTTAGCAAAGTGGTTTCTCCATTTTCTTTGAGCAGCATGTGTAAGATTCAAAACATCATGAGTCATGATTTAGAACACTGGTTCTGAACAAATATTTTAGAGTCTTTCAAGTTCAATATTTACCTCCCCGTTTAACAACTGTGTGACAGTAGACAAAAAAGTCCAGCCTCTCTGTCCCTTTAGTTTCTCATCTGTAAAACAGGGTTAATTCCTGTCTTATAAGGTTATTTATGAACATAATTGTGATAATGTGGAAAGAGGATAATAGAGTCCTCAGTACATGGCAAGCACTCAGGAAGTGATAAATATTAATAAAATATTAAAATATAATAAATGGTAGGCATTATTACTTTTTAAAATAAAATTTACAGTCCCCACACTTACTGGTGATGCCTGCATGTGTGTTCTACACGCTCTACCATGTGGAATGCAGTAGCATCCCTAAAGCAGGGTTTTGTTTAGAGAGGAATGTTTTATGTTAGAAGTTTTAAAGTCACAAGAAAATCATTTTTCAAAGGGCGTTAGCTGTAAAATCTATATCAAATCAACGACATCAAACTTTCTTAATTATTTCTGAGAGCAGAAAACCTACAACGCATTTTTGTTAGAATAAAACAAAACGCTGACCATCAAACTTTACAGATTCCCACGGTTTCTTTGTTCACCCAGCATGAAAGGTTAGATAGGTCCACGTTGCTCCTGATTATATGGTGCTGTCTTTTATGTCAGCATCATGAATAATGCCACTCCATTTCTTATCAAGAATGTCCCTTATTTTTAACTGTAATTCTATAGTTATTCTTTTTTCAAGATCGAGCACTTATAATCAGCTAAATATTGTTGACTGCTCTGGGAAAATTAGGAGTGGGATTAAATTTTTCACCTTCCTTTGTTGATTTCCCAAAGATGGAAGTAGTGTGTCAGATCATTTAAAGTGATTTTTGAACTGTGCTCTGTCCTGAGGTCACAGAGGGTTGAAAACGGGAAGCCTGCCCAGGTGGGAGCCCAGTGTTGATTCAGCCACATTTTTTTTTTTTAGCCTTTGTTCTGTATTGGCTTCCCTTAAGTTTTTGTTTTAATAAGTGAATTTGCAGCTCTTAAAATAATTCCCATACTGTCATTTAACTGATGTAAAAGCTTATGCTCCTAAAGAAGGTGAAAGAGGCAAGATCACATAGCAGGTTTTTAAAAGTTTTTATCTGGCTTTCTCTATCATTCTCCAGAGTGCATGCAAGTGTGCTGGCAAAAAAAAAAAAAAAAAAAACTGAAAAGCTGATTCCATGTTAGTTTATGAATTCCAACTCAGTTGATTTCACCTGAAAAATCCCAACTAGCTGCACATGAAAGTTAATAAGCAAGTGTCACTTTGACAGTTGTCTTCATGTGACAAGTTAAGTAGTAAAGTACTAAGATTTAAAAAATTAAACCAACTTGAGGTCTACTGAATATTTTCCCAAATGTCCTTTGGAGTAGCTTAAACATGATCTTTATTCTAATGCTAGGAGAGTCCTTCAAATTATCCCTTGCATTCTTCTCTGTGTGTGTGTGTGTGTGTGTCCTACTGGAATTTGCTTTTGATTGATTTCTCCCACTGTTCTTGCCCATAGCTTCAAGTTTCAACTCCCCTTAATTTTCTTTTAAGCTTTATATTGTTTCCTTGTTTATTTTTCTGCCAAATATTAAGAACATGCATATTTGAGAATCTAGTTATTCTTGCGTTTTTACCACCTTGGTACTTGCACATGTGAAATGTACCTGCAACCACCAGTTTTCTAACTAAAGCTGCATCACAGAGATCTCCATTTAAGGGTGTTTATTCTGCATTCATGGGTGCTGACTCTTTGTGTTGTCTTTATCCATTGTGTGTAATCTTTTTTAATGCAGAGCCACTAAGATCTTTTCAATAGATTTATTTCTACAACTTGGAATTTGATGTTTTTAAAACAAAACATTTAAAAAAAAAAAAAAAACTTATTCAAATTCCCAGTCTCTGTTAGCCTTGATCTGAAAGATTTCTAAAGACCGATAACATTTATCTATATCCAATTTACTTTAACCATCAGGCCTAATCTAGTAGCATCAGTCAATTTAATTAGTACATTCTCTACTTTGTTTTCCAGATTTTTTATAAAGATATTAAACAAAATGGGACCCAATATCGATCCTTGTGGGACCCTACTGGAAACCTCTCCCCAACTAGACGGACTACCAATTACGATTTCTCTCTGTATACGGTTAGATAGCCAGTTTTTAATCCATTTATTTGTATTTCTGTTGGAGCCAATTTGTTTAGCTGTTCCCTTACAAAAAAATGTATGGGGTCTTTGCAGATTACCTATGAACATGTATCCACAGAGTCTTGGGGATAAGTTAAAATTTTTTCAGGAGACCTTACTGGGACTTTCCCAGGTTTGTTTTTTCAGTATGGCTTTGGTGAACCTAAACTTCAATGTTTCGTTCAGGGATTATTGTTGTCTTAGGGAAAGAAATGGAATGAATCATATTTTGAGAATCCTTTCATTTGTACTGAGAGGACAAGAGTGTAATTATTCCTTAGTTTTGTTGTTGTGTTTGGTTTTTTTCAGACTCTTTGGATTGAATAGGTGGTGAATTAAACATTTCTTTTGTTGGTTGGCTCAGAATTCAGAAATTTGTCTATGTTACTAACTGTGTCTAAGAATGTTATACTTGCATCAAGTCCTTGTTGATTTCTTGTTATTTATTTTACAAATAGGTATGGTATTGGCAGGCTCATCATTATTATGATGATAAATAAAAGGCAATAATTGAAATTGTTACTTACCAAAACTCTTGACTTAAATGAACTCTAAAGAAAGGCTATTTTTGACCCACAGTTTAGTTTCTGAATCCTCATGTGTTTGTGATCTTACTTGGCAAGTTGTCGTTCATATTTCCCTCCAAACTGGAGGAGGAAAATAATTGTCACCATTCCACCCTATTATCTACTTCTTGTTCAACTCCATTGTTAAGCAAATGATATTGGATATTCGTGAATCTCTTTTATGAGGACTTGATGCTAGAAGTGTTTCCGTTACTATATTTTCTAAGTATCAGGCTTTCCCTTAATTTTGTGGCTTTGACTCCAGAGTCCTTAATACATCATTGTTGTTGCCTTTGGGGTAGGGGAGAAAATGGATAAGCTACTGAATTGCTCCTTTTTTCTGGTATTTTGTTACTTTTTGACTTCATTACTTGTGCTATGTAGTAACAAAGTCTAGTAAACGGTAACAATTAAATCACAGAAGAGATGTTTGAAATTTTGTTAATCACAACTTTTTGTCCTGATCCTTTAAACATTATATCACCTGCTATGTCTGTGCTCTCAGGCTATCTCATTCATGTTGTTGCTGCTGTCCTTGTTTTTCAACTTTAGTTACTCTTGTTGAAATTAAAGTAGACTGACTTGATCGGGCATTATTCTGGGTATATTGGTAATTATGCAGAAAAAAACATGTATGGAAGTTGGGTTTATGATGAAAATGACTGAAGGAGTTTGTATTTCTCAAAACCAAAATCAAACACACTACATGATTGTTGTAAAGACTGCGTTAAGCCACATGAATATTCAGGATATCCTCAGAAGATGAGAATATTTTGAAATTTGCTCTTTGTTGCTTTAAATTGTTCAGTTGATGGCTTTAAACAGTTAATTATCTCTTATCCCATGATTTGAACACTAACCTGTTAAGACCTCTTCCTCTATCTCATAAAGTATCATATTAACAAAAATGTTCAGTGAAAAATGAATTTTAACATTGAAATATGAATTCTAACATCCTTTGTTTTTATACTTTTTTTTTTTTTTTCCCCAGGCTGGTATGCAATGGCATAATCTTGG